TCATAAACATTGCTATGCATGGATCAGCATCACACGAGAGGAGGCAGAACGAAGTCTACAGGACTATTAAAACATTAGATCAGCTAACTGATCAGTTAAAACAGGATGGGTTTATAATTAGTAGAAGTGGGCTGTACCTTCGACTGTTGCCAAGACGTACTTCTTCTCATGAAGGGCAACGACATGTATCGACAGTCCCAGTAAAACTGATAAGAGCGCAAAACGATTGCCATGCAAATCACATTGATCGCTTGTTTACAGCGGCAACACTGCATCACCTAGAAGAGTTAGCTTCCATGCTTGGACCGAATGAGGTATGCTTTATAAGTCAAAATGACAAGGCCCGCGTTCCGCTTGGGTTGACAGCAGCTAAAAAACAGAGTCCATTGCTCATGCACATGGAATACAGGGTGAGCTTGCCTGACCATGACTGGGTTGTGGCTGCTGGACATAAGCTGATCCCTTCAGTTTATGCAGGGATAAAAATTCAGCCCAACGCCTTGGGAAATCGAGAAGCTGTTGGATACTCCGGCCCAACATACATATCAATCAGATCTGGTAAACATTCCTCATCCACAGCGCTTAGTCATGGACTTGATTTTGAAAAATTACTTACTTTACATGAATTTGATGATATCACAAAGAGCGGTGTGGATAAAATTGTTAAACCAATATTAGTGTTGACGGTTGATGGTGGCCCATACGAAAATCCTAGGTATCAAAAGGTGATCAAAGTTGCGGTACACCACTTTCTCAATCAGAACTATGATGGTTTGTTCATTGCTACAAATGCACCAGGAAGAAGGTCATTTAATAGGGTTGAAAGAAAAATGGCGCCACTTAGCAATGAGCTCACAGGATTAGTTTTACCCCATGACCACTACGGCAGTCATTTGGATGAAAGAGGAGTCACAATAGACACAGATTTAGAGAAGAAGAATTTTCAGTTTGCCGGAAACACTTTTGCAGAAATATGGTCACACTTGACAGTGGATACATTTCCTACAGTGGCAGCATACATAGATCCAGAAGAGTCTGAAGTCCTTGAAACTTCTCTGCTCTCAAAAGATCAGCGTTGGCATGATATTCATGTGAGAACTAGCCAGTATTTGACTCAGATTGTTAAATGCATGGATGGTAAATGTTGCTCAAAGCCAAGAAGCTCGTATTTCAGCGTAATAACTGATAGATTTCTTCCTCCACCTTTACCAGTCGCCCAAACAAACTGTGGACTAACAATACCTGAGCGTTCAACAGATGGCTCTTCACATAAATTTCCATCTCTTTTTGTTGCTCAAAGTATAAAAGTGGATGAAATCCTTTCCCGCTCTTCAAATCCTTATCGCACAATCCCTTATGATTTGTATTGTCCGTCTGTTCAATCCGTGATCAGCGACAGGGTTTGTAAGAAGTGTCATTCATACTTCTCTTCATTGGTTATGCTGCGCAATCATTCTTTAACTCACAAACAGGAATCATCAATTGTGCCATTACAGCGCATCAGGCCTCTGAGAGTTGCTGCACGTCGCCAACGTGAACTGATGGTTATAATTGCCAATGAAATTAATGGTGAGAGTGTAGATTGGATAGAAGAGGAAGACCTTGATGTAAAGGGAATTCCCATTCCATACAGGAAAAAAAATCAATTCCGTCCCTGTGTATTCAATGAAGGAACATTTTAATTCTCCATGGGAGAATGAATAAGCTTAAAATTAAATATCACAACTTTTAATTTAGGATTGCCATATTAATACTGTTGTAAGTAGTTTTTTAAAATACTTCTGCTAATGATCTTGCTAAGATTTAGAAATATGAATGTATATAGATATCGTCGGTTAAGTATAACTTGTTACTGATATTATTATTTAATCGTTATTAATGAAATTTCTATAAAACTTGCTTAGATTTAAGTCAGTGTGAAAGTATTTCTTGTCCTATTTCAACATCCTCTTCGCTAACAGCAAAACACGCAATTTAATAATCTAGTGGAGAGTCTTTACTATTAAAAATCTATTACATTTATTTTGCTTTTGAGAGATGAAGTCCATTTTATAGGCTATAATGAACTATACCAGGAAAAGTAAAGGTCTGGGTATACTGCTGACATTTAAATAATTTGCATATTATACTCAATATATGGTTATTCTCACGTGTGTCGTCATGTCTGCAAGAAATACCTACATTTACATTAAGTAAACTGTATTACTGTTTACCTGCTGGTGCCACGAATGGGTCCTGCGCGCTCATTTTTAATGCTGTGTCAACGAGCGGTAATTTTAAAGGGATGAAAACACAGAAAATTTAAAACATAGGATAAATTGTAAATTAGGGGGGGTGGGGTGGAGTGTGACGTCATTTTAGGGGGGGGGGGGTCTGAATTTTTGTGACGATGTGTGACGTAGGGGGGGGAGGGGGTAAAAAATGGCTTAAAAAGCGTGACGTCATTTATGGACGACCCCTAAGGTGAGGTAAGGTGAGGTAAGGTGAGGTAAGGTGAGGTGAGGTAAGATGAGGTAAGGTGAGGTAAGATGAGGTAAGATGAGGTAAGATGAGGTAAGATGAGGTAAGATGATATAAGATGAGGTAAGATGATGTAAGATGAGGTAAGATGAGGTAAGGTGAGGTAAGATGAGGTAGGGTGAGGTAAGGTGAGGTAAGATGAGGTAAGATGATGTAAGATGAGGTAAGATGATGTAAGATGAGGTAAGATGATGTAAGATGATGTAAGGTGAGGTGAGGTAAGGTGAGGTATGGTGAGGTAAGGTGAGGTAAGGTGAGGCGAGATGAGGTTATAGAGCTACATGTAGTTGTATGGCAACTAAATATTTGAACACAATGTAATATTAAGTTATGAGGTTAACATATGGTACACAATCTTTAAGACATATTTTTATTCGTAATTCAATACAAACTTTGAATACAAACTTAATTCCATTTTTTAATGAAACAAACGTTTTTACCAACAATATCATAGCGACATTCAGACATGCACACAGACATTGGTTGAAATATTTAACAGAACAAACATCTATATTTTTAGTTTATCTATAATTTTAAGTATTACATTGTTACATATAAACTGTAATGAAGATAATTGTTTTCAAATCATATTTAAAAATGAAATATTTAGCAAATTTTATTTACAAGTACTTGTTTAATAAAATGAATCACATACTTTTCTTTGTGTTGTATATTGAATAGAGTCGAACTAATTTTACTATTTAAAAAAAATTAAGTTCCGCATTTTTGGCCTCTATTATGTACATGTAGACACTGTATGAAAACACAGGTTAGTATAAAGTAAAAACAACGTTTTGAAAATCTCAAATATATTAAAATATTTTTAAGCAGTTAATACTTATTAAAATCTAGAGCTTACGGTCAAATACGTAAGTTCGACTACAGTGTGCGATAGCACTATATGTAGCGACTGTTGGATTGTGAGGTGAATTTCAGATCGAACTTTCTTTCTCCAGTTGGTTTTTCATTGCTTAGAAATGCAATATCTGATTGATTTTCAATAAACTGTCACGCTGTTTATTAAACACGGAAGTGTACAAAAGTTATAACATCTGCAAAATTGTACAAGCCTTATGAAATCTTACACAATTAAATTAATCTGAATTATTTTATAAATTAGGACAACAGGTGAACCTAATCCAAACTGATATACTAATCCAAAAATATTTACTCTATTGTCCAAAAAAATAACTAAACATTTAAATGGAAAAAAAACCAACAAAAAAGTAGACTAATTATATTCAAATAAGGATAATCTATATAAAATGATAAGATTTTCCTCTTGATTACAATTTTAGCTCTTGAAAAAACTCTCCGCTAGCTCTATATCAACGTCAACATCAAGTTGATCTCTCGCCTTGACCAAGGCTTCTATCATATATTGATATGTTGCTTTGTTACGATTGTTACGGTACCATATACCTAAACAACGTGCTATTGTTCTTTGTACATTAAAACCACAATTTTGTTTTTCTTTCTCGACTTGTATTGAACTGAAATTGAGTACAAGAAGAAATAGTTCCCAGTTACTCCCTACAACTGTTGCAAATCTACAAACTTCTACCTCTGTAAGTGTTCTCTCTTTTGGGTTTGTTCTGTCAACTAAGGAAAGACATGGGATTTAAGTTTTATATATATATATATATATATATATATATATATATATATATATATATATATATATATATATATATATATATATATATATATATATATATATATGTTTAAATTTTTTTAATTGAGTTCAATGTGCGTGTTGAACTACAATATAATGTATCAGCAGAATTTTGTCATGCATTTTACTAAAACGCCTCTTAGGGAAGGTGCGTCAATAGTTTGCACTATTAGCTGTTAATAGATTCTGCGTTGTGCACATTAACTTTTATTATAGTTGATCATCCATACTGAGTTAAATTCCTTTCTACTTAGATGGCAGCAAGCAACGCACAAATGGTCTACACACATAGACACACACATAGACATACACATGCGCACACAGTCACACCCACATCTAGACACACACACAGATCCACACACAAACACATACATACATACACACACACATATATATATATATATATATATATATATATAAATATATATATATATATATATATATATATATATATATATATATATATATATATATATATATATATATATATATTATATATATATTTATATAATATATATATATATATATATATATATATATATATATATATATATATATATATATATTTATATAATGCATATATATATAATATATATATATATACATATATATATATATATATATATATATATAGGCTAAATATTATATATATTTATATATATATATATATATATATATATATATATATATATATATATATATGTATATTTTTTATATATGTGTGTGTATGTGTGTAGTTTATTTTATAACCAGAGCCCTTATTTTGAATCCATAATTTTAAACGGCATCTTGTAACATTTTAATGTCAAGTACCAGGCGGTGTACTTTCCCGTGGCGGTGGTTCAGTAATAGGTGGTGTTGGCATTTCAGCATTCGTTGGCTCTCTTGTTTCAGATGTCGTGGGCAGAGATGGCTGAGTCGTACTTGTTGTAGGGGATTTCTTCTCTTGAGCTAGTTTAACAAAAAAAGTTACATGAATTGTTATCCAGTGGGGTTAGATCGAACCGCAGCTGTTAAGTCAGTCGATCTTAGGAAGTCAAGACACACACCGGACTTATTTGATTCAAGAGAGGATTTTGTCAGTGTGGACAATCAGTAACAGATGAACCATGGAAAATAAAACACAGGTTGTCCTTAACACAGGGGCGTACGCAGTTTATTTTGGTAGGGGAGAGCGGCATATAAGGCGCATTATGTGTACACTCACTACTTCGCTTTGATGTATAAAAATAAAGTTCATTTTAAAATACAAAAGATAACATAACACAAAATAACACATCAAGATTTACCTAAAATTACTACAAAGTAATTAAAACAAAGGTATACATGTACATTTAAATTGTATACATTATGGCCTCATAAAGTCCCCTGCTTTTTTAAAAAGTGGTTTACAGGTCTAATTATAAATTTGTAGTTTGCTTTTTGAATATGAAATGTACTTGTGATCCTCAATTTTAGAAAATAATTTATCTTACACTTTACTTTCAATATAGCTAACTTTCCAACACATTTCTAGAAAAGTTGCAAGAATGTAATCGTAATAAAATAGTTCACCATGTACAGCTAGTTTAAGCTAAGTAAAGTATTGGACAAAGAATTAAAAACTTTTTACCTTTTGGCACTTGTTTTAGGTCCAGCAAAACCCGATGACGTACTGCCTGCAACTCTGTGATTAATTCCTTTAAAAAAATTATGTTAATTAATACATTAGCAGAAAATACCTGGCTCTGAACGGGTTGTGGGAAACTTACAGTTTTCAATTAAATGCCCGTGTGTTAATATGGACACTATAGAAAATATAAATAACAGTAAACTCAACCACAGCCACAACCATAATCACAAACACATAATCACAAACACAAACATACTTATAAACAAAAACCCTAACCCTATCCTTATAATTATCCCAATCTATATCACTATAATTATCACTATCCTTCATTCCTTACATTGTCTTTTTCTTTCCTTCATCCCTAAACTTAATCTTTTATTATAGTCCATAAGTGTGGCGAAGTGAATCAAATCGGTGCACATGTTTTGATTTTTATACCGGACAATCAATCAAGATCAGCCTCGGTTTGAATGTACGTACGGGCCTCACAAGGTTTGCCTTTACAATTTTTTTTTATTTTTAGGACGAAAGTTAACACATTAGCACATTTCTGTTATATCTCTGATAATAACCACTGAGCCTTATGTTCAATGTAAAAACTAAAGCATTGCAAAGTTCATCCGATGAATTTAACTATGTAACTATCAATCAGAATTAATTATCATTAAAAAAGTAAAAAAAAACCCACGTTTTTCTGATTGACTAAAAAGTAGAAAATAAATGCTATACATCACAATAATGCAAGCGATCACTCTACTATAAGTGATGAAAAACGTGAGGAGCGAAGTAAAAGTTTTTTATCGGTCATTGTTAATATAAGATGTAAAAGTCTTTTTAGTCTTTGTCTGTTTTTTTGCATTAAAATCTTGCTATCGATTTTATCTTTTCGCATTCCCTTTTTTTTTGGGTAAACGAAGACAACTCGTAAAAAACACGTGCCTTTTCCAATCGACGTATCTTCTGTGTTGCCGTTTCTTTCACCATTTTGTCCTCGCATGCAAACCATTCCACCATCAACATTCTACTTTCTGATCAGTCAGATTTGCATAGGTTTGTACACAAACACCGCGTGACCACTACTCAGCCAGTCGCGTGCTTGCTCCTTTAGTAAGCCACAAGAGGGAAAGTACCGAATCTTGTTTTATCAAATTACAATTACTAGGTTATGTCCCTTTTTGTACAAATATATAGGGGTATAAAATGATCAATAAAATGTTTCCATGAATCAATTTAGTAATAATAACAATTGAATATTGTATTGTCATTGGAAACAAAGCTTCCCTGAAAATTTCAGCGCGCTAGCTAACTGGGAAGTGCCCGAAATTTCGATCGCAAGATTTGATTGGAAAACCAAACAGACGCTAAAGCAAGTTAAAGAAAACGTGGGAAAAACTGATACAAACCTTGAGCATGCTTTCATAATTGCCAGATTTACTAAAGTTGTAGAATTTTTTGGCCCCTTGTGTAACACCTAGCCAGCCATTAGGGGAAAAGTTTTCCTGCATTTTAAGCATAATGTATTCTTTATGCTGCTCGACTGTGTATTCAGCTTCTGTTGTAAATAACGTCGGTTTAAAGATTACAAATATATGATAGAGAAGTGTGCCAATCAATGTATATGTCAAATTAATATCTGCTGATGCGAATATTTTACGTATTCGATATATGGTAGGATGTAACGTATAAGGTGTGACACTTAAGGTGAATAAATGACACTAGTTTTAAAGAATATTAAAATAATTTACTTTATAGCAAACGTAATAGAGTGCAAAATGTATATACATATCTTTTAACTACGTGAGAATAAAATGGTAATCATAGTTGAATGTTGCACACATTGCAAAACATACACACACACACACATATATATATATATATATATATATATATATATATATATATATATATATATATTATATATATATATATATATATATATATATATATATATATATATATATATATATATATATATATATATATATACATGTTATATATATATATATATATGATTTAATGTAATATGGTGGTTGGTTGTCTATAAAATTATAATAAAATAGTAAGTAATATTTAGTTTTGGGTAAAAAGTGTACGCGTTTTGTTCGAAAATGTGTGCAAGATTACTTGTTTGAATACAAACACGAATATCAACCTTTTTTACAGTAGGGGCTGCTCTGGTAGTGTTCAGACATACACATAAGGACAACCCACGAGTCTTCAACAGCTTTAGCCATTCCTTCTAGTAGGTTGCCTCCCATGTTTTCTTGATCAATCCAAACATCGAAACCGTCATCCTTATTTGACAAAATATATGTAATTAGTACGAGCTGCATAGCCGTACTTCCATGCGATTTGAAAGTACTAAGTCTACTTTTAGAGAATAGACAAAACACAAAAACAACTGTTTTATTAAAAATACTTAAGGGAATAGAATAACATAACATACCGCACCAACACCTCCACCGTGCTAACAACACTACAACCCGCACATAGGAATGTGTAAACTAAGCATGTTTGTGTTTTCATGTATATAAATACGAATAAGTAGACTAAACTTAATATTATAGCCATTTTTTTATTTAATGCTGTGTATCCCTTTTCCATTATGATAGAGGACTTATGCACACTATTAAAACTTAGGCGACAATCTAAAATAAGCAAAACAATATATAATAGACATCAGTCCTAGAATTGTAATAAAGGTAACAAGGTGGGCTTTTGTTTATTATTTTCGATTATATATATATATATATATATATATATATATATATATATATATATATATATATATATATATATATATATATATATATATATGTATGCGATGGGCAACAAACTATAAGAATTTTGTTGAAAAAAAAGTCAGTAATCTTTGATTATTGCATTTCCAAGTTATTATAATATATTTAAAACTACATGATTTTCTCTCAATACCTTGACAATGCCTTCTTTTTCCCAAGATAACATTACAATTATGATGTTCTATCAACGGCTAATTAATGAAAGAAGGATAACTCAAGTCGTTCTAGGAACTGTATTTACCCGTGAGTTCTAAATATTTACTTTTTTAGACAGATAACAATAAGTTAAATAATTGAAAAACAACAAGCTTTGTTTACCTTCAAACTTTTATATATTTTATCCACCAAAATCTTGTCTTTATGGCAGTAGCTTACAAAGATGTGTCTATTGGCTGATGGTTGTATATCTAATTTCATAAAAACATAAACTAGATATTAGTAATCAAACGCAATGTTTCTGCACAATGCAAACGTATTACAACATTATTTTAGAATTATATTGCTTCATTTGTTAAATGTTATATTTATTAAAAAATCGATTAAAATATATAAATACGATAATGCTATATCTTCTTCTTCTTCTTCGTTCTTAATTATTAGTGTTGAAGGGGATAGAGATTTATCTGCCAGTGGGTTTGAACTCGAGACTTTGTTCGAATTTATCAGCTATATCTAAAACTTTGTTCAGTTGTCAATGCAGCACAGGTAGCCGTAATGTCATGGATCCAATTTTGTGGATTAGAGTACGATAAAAAGGCTTCGTTGCGTCTCTTTGTTTCACTTGGGTCCACATGGTAATGAATATATATATATATATATATATATATATATATATATATATATATATATATATATATATATATATATATATATATATATATATATATATATATATATATATATATATATATATATATATATATATATATATATATATATATATATATATATATATATATATATATATATATATATATATATATATATATAGGCCTATATTTATATAACTTAAATAATTATGTCTGACGGGGCTTTGCTTACCTTTTGGCACGCCATAAGCTCCACCTGAGGCTTTATTACCCATTTTGTGAGGTCGAAAGTATTTCTTAGATTTTCGATAAAATATTTCGTAGTAGTAAGACGTATGGCATCTGTGCAAATTTTAATAAAATTATTTTACGCTTTAATGCTTTGTTCTATTTATTGAAAGACATGCGCGATTGTATACACGTATGAGAAAATGCTATTTACATTGACTATTAATTAGTTAATGCTCATTACTTTAGATAGCAGAAGACACAGTATACACATTTACGTCTATCCTAGAAAGCTAGCATTATTCGGTAGATTCGAGTTTGCTAGCTAGTAGTCACAATCACATTTAGTAGTTTACTAGCTTGGCAGTGCATGTAGCAATGCTAAATTTTGAAAAGTAACGCAAACATCTATGAGTCCATTCAGCACAGATGACAATCAAATAGACAAAGCAGAAGAATTCATCTACTTGTGAGGTGGAGTAACAGATGTTGATTGCTAAGCAGAACAAGCATTCAGCGAATTAATAAACCCCACAAACTAAGAATGTCTCCTGTCCCGTTGATTATTTTACTGTAGCTGACTCGGGTAGAATCATTAAATACCCCTACAGTGGCGTAGCCAGGATCGTCTCAATGGGGGGTTCCAATTTTTACTCGGGGACGAACTTTCGATTTGCACCCCCCCCCCCCTCAAACTTTCGATTTGCACCCCCCCCCCCCTCAAACTTTATATATATATACCGAGGGATCTAAGAGGGGGGGGGGGGGTTATGACCCCCCCTAGCCCCCCCCCTGCCTACGCCACTGTACCCCTAGACAACGACGGCCTTATTGGCTAGTGCCCGAGCCAGTGTCAGCAACGTATTCGGCCGGCGACTAAGCAACCGGACGACAACATCGTAGTCCGGTCTGCAACATCTGGGGACTCGTCCTTTTGGACACAAAGGCCTCTCACAAGATTGAAGCTTTCCGCATGATATTTTTCCTGCACAAGTAGTCCCTGTTGCAATTGTTCCCGTAAGAAGCTGTTCCTGTAGGAAGCTGCTCCAGTAAGAAGCTGTTCCTGTCCTTGTATCAAGCTATCCGTTATGAAGCTGTTCTGGTACCAGCTGTTCCTGTATTGCATGTTCCTGTAATCTAAACTGTGCTGTGCAACGAGCTCCCGTAATAACTGTCCCCGCAAGACGCTATCCGTGTTAGAAGCTGTTCCTGCAACAGACGTCCTTAAACAACGTTCCCATACAAAGTGTTCCTTGGCCAGAGTCTAGCAAGTCACGAAGTGAGCCGTGTGAAGACTACGCTGATGTCCACCGAACTCATCGTTGATGTCCTTTAGTCTACCAACCCAGAAGCCCAGTGTATTTTGTGTGTGAGCGTGTGAAGGTGCAGCAGCCTGCTGATATATTGGACCAGCACTCCTGACCTACAATCACACTCTGGGGTAAGTGCCTTTTGTATCAGCCCTCGTACGGTGCTCTCGGCAAGCAATTTACTCTGGTTTTCTTCTACCATTGGGTTTAGATATACCCGCGTGAAATTCTCTATAGTCGAAGAGGTTAAGTAAACTTTCTAAGTTGTCATTACTGGGACCGCAATTAACCCTTCCGTGTAGTTGCGTGCCTGAACTTTTACTGACCACTACTTGACATTGTTCGTCTTTGATTTCGACCAATAGAAACTACCCGACACGCACACTGCGATTGTGAATTAGGGAAGATAAACTGTCACTTGGTTTTTTCTTGGCGTTGGGCCAGAAGTATAAATTAGAGTGGGCTGAAAATAAACTAGCAGAAGCAGAAGAAAAACATATAGAGGAAGCAAAACTAAAGATAGAGTTAGCCGAATGAGAGGCTACGAGAACTTTAGAAAAAAACTAAAATGGGTAACCAACGGGTAGTTGAACAAACAAAATCATGTCCCGACCGACCGACCGACCGACCGACCGACCGACCGACCGACCGACCGACCGACCGACCGACCGACCGACCGACCGACCGACCGACCGACCGACCGACCGACCGACCGACCGACCGACCGACCGACCGACCGACCGACCGACCGACCGACCGACCGACCGACCGACCGACCGACCGACCGACCGACCGACCGACCGACCGACCGACCGACCGACCGACCGACCGACCGACCGACCGACCGACCGACCGACCGACCGACCGACCGACCGACCGACCGACCGACCGACCGACCGACCGACCGACCGACCGACCGACCGACCGACCGACCGACCGACCGACCGACCGACCGACCGACCGACCGACCGACCGACCGACCGACCGACCGACCGACCGACCGACCGACCGACCGACCGACCGACGTAAGAGGAGAGGGTTCCGGCCGTAATTTTATGACAGTGTTTGATGGGGGGGGGGGGGGGAAATTCAGATAGTGTAATGTCACACTTTTTCATTATAAAATATTATTAAAAGAATGATTTTGACGTTTTGTTTGCGTTTTAGAAAACTGTTTCAAGACATTTAACTGATAAATTTTAATATACTCTATGTTGACCAAGCACAAGATTTTAGAAAAAAATGGATCTTTTAAGAAAAATTCAATATAAATCGTCATTTAACGTCATTTTTGGGTGAGGGTCTGGTTTTTTGTGACGATGTATGACGGAGAGAAGGGGGGTGGGTGTAAAAATTATAAAAAAATGTAACGTCATTTA